GCCAGCCAGGTACCCCCTCTGGAGATTATATCCAAATTGTTTCTTAAATCAACTGAAGAATAAAAAAATTTGCACTGGAATGTAAACTCCATGAAGACAGGGATTTGTCTGATTCATAGTTGTAACCTCAGCATCTAGAACTGTCCATTATGAGCAACAGAAACTCAAATGCATGTCAAACCCAACCTGATTCCCACCACACCACCTTATGCCTTCTAGTAAAATGATGGCCTTTGAACAATGAAATACTTTACAACCTGAGAAACCAATCACTCTAACATTTGTAGTTCTTTGTCTTAATATGAAAACTATGTTTCTCAGACATTTATATTTTCTTTTTCTAATGTAAAGGGTTTTGTTCTACCATTTTTCACCTAGTACTAGAATCCCGCTTTTAAAATAAATCAGCAAATGAAGATAAATACTCTAAAAATAGGACCAAAAGACCTTTTTAAAATAGGCTATTATGATGCATTAAAATTTATGATGGCGAATAAACATATGACATGATGTTCAACATCATGTCATTAGGGAACTGCAAATTAAAACAACGAGATATCAATCACTACGTTCCTATGGTCAAAATAAAAAACACTGATATCATTAAATGCTGGTGAGAATATGGAGCAACATGAACTCTCATGCACTGCTGAGGGGACTGCAAAATGGTACAGCCACTTTGGAAGACAATTTGGCAGTTTCCTACAAAACTGAAGACACTCTTACTATATGATCCAGCAATCACACTTCTTGGTATTTACACAAAGAAACTGAAAACTTAAGTCCACATAAAAATCTGCACACAGCTGTTTATAGCAACTTGATCTATAACTGCCAAAACTTGAAAGCAATCAAGATGTCCTCCAGTTCATGAATGGATAAATAAATTGTGGTACATCCAAACAATGGAGTATTATTCAGCACTAAAAAGAAATGAGCCATCAAGCTATGAAAAGACATGGAGTTATCTTAAATGCATATTATTAATGAAAGAGGCCAATGTGAAAAGATTATGTACTGTGTTTTTCTAACTATATGACATTCTAAAAAAGGCAAAACTGTGGAGACAGTAAAAAGATCAGTGGTTGCCTGCGGTTGGGGGTAAGTGGAAGGGATGACTATGCAGAGCACAGAGGATTTTTAGGTCAGTGAAACTATTCTGTATGATATTTTAATGGTAAATACATGTCATTATACATTTGTCCAAACCCATACAATGTTCAACACCAAGAGTGAACCATAATGTAAACTGGGGACTTGGGATAATTATGATATGTCAATGTAGGTTCATCAACTGTAGCAAATGTATCACTCTGGAAGGGAGTATTCCTTTTTTTTTTTGATTTTATTTATTTATTTGACAGAGAGACACAGCGAGAGAGGGAACACAAGCAGGGGGAGTGGGAGAGGGAGAAGCAGGCTTCCCGCGGAGCAGGGAGCCCAATGCAGGGCTCAATCCCAGGACCCTGGGATCATGACCTGAGCCAAAGGCAGACGCTTAATGACTGAGCCACCCAGGCGCCCCTGGAAGGGAGTATTCCTAATGGGGGAGGCTGTGTATGTGTGTGGCGAGGGGGGTATATGGGAACACTATGCACCTCTCCTTCAATTTTGCTATTAACCTAAAACTGCTCTAAAAAAATCAAGTCTTGGGCACCTGGGTGGCTCAGTTGGTTAAGTGACTGCCTTCGGCTCAGGTCATGATCCTGGAGTCCTGGGATCAAGTCCCGCTTCTCCCTCTGACCCTCCCCCCTTAGTGCTCTCTCTCTCTCATTCTCTCTCTCTCTGAAATAAATTAAATTAAATTAAAAATTAAGTCTTAATAAATATTAAAAAAAAAAAAAACCTTGGAATGTACAACACCAAGAGTGAACCCTAATGCAAACTCTGGACTTTGGGTAATAATGATACGTCAATGTCAACTATAACAAATGTACCAGTCTGGTGGGGGATGTTGATAATGGAGGACGCTGGCACGTGTGCTGGTAGGGGATCTATGGGAATTTTCTGTACCTTCCCCATAATTTTGCTGTGAACATAAAACTGCTCTGAAAAAAATTAAATCTATTAAAAAATATGTATACACATTTCAACAGAAAAAAAAATCCTTAACATAAGTCACCTTCATGACAAAGTAACAGACATAGTAGCTTATTTTTTACTGCAAGGAGGAGACAAAATTAAGTATTTTTGTAAAACATTTACTCCAGGTAAGATTTTCGCCCTGCTTGAAATGTCATGGTAATCCTAATTATATGCTTATTAAGAAAAAAAAATCTGGCTGTTACCATAGAAATTACCAGGGATGGTTAGTGCCTCCATGATTTGGGCAGTTATACCTGTTGGGTCACTTAATTCTGAACTCACAGGTTCCTGTTCAACAGGGAAAGGCTAAAAATGTCTACATTTGTTTTAAAGAATGGCTAATACACTCATGGGGAAATGCAAATTGAGGTAAATGGAGCATGCACTCACATCAAGATACAACACGCCACGCCACGCCACACCACTCCCCACTAAAATGGTTGGCAAAAATTAGGTGGCTGCTGACTGCTAGCTTTGTTTGAATCTCTTCTGATCACATTTCCCTGTCCAGGATGCCTCTGATGTTCATTTTTGCCTGTTATGAAGAACACTGGATTATTGCAATTATATTAGGTTAATGGGGAAGGATGTATTTTATTTTGCTGGGCTGAGTAAGAAAGCTTAAAGCTCTGAGACATTTACTCTAAGCAATCTTCTAGGCATGTCTCCCTTTGCCAACATCTGAAGCAGTCTCCAGTTCCAACTGGACATCAAGAATATAAACTCACTCATGCAAATGTACTGTGCCTTGGGTTCTTTCTAAATCATATATACTTGAAGGGAGCATGGATTCTAACACCAGGAAAGTCCCCTCCCAATTCCTTAGGAGTGGTGAACCAACATATTCACATTTAATATGCCCACTTTCTCTTATCACACTCCATGTATTACTGACTACAAAATAAGCCTTAGCAGGTGCCCACCTGCCATTTACTTGCTGTGTGGCATCAGTCACTTATTCCTTTTTCAGTTGAGAAGTTGCAACAGCATTTATTAAATTTATATGATTGGGAATAGTCTGAGGGCCTCAAGTAATGACCATGGTTTGTGTTTTAAGACACTGACTTTTTGTCTACCTAGTTCAGCTCAACCACGAACAGCAATTGCAGAACTTTCTACATACAAAGGACTTCTTAAGGGCTAAACAGCCATGCTAAGTTCTATGAATACTAATTACATTTTCAGAAATCCCTTTTAAAAGGTGAAAGATTACAGAGTGGCTAAAGTTATGCTCACAAACACAAAGGCATATGCATGTTCCAGCAGTATAAAGCACAGTCTTAAGTGATAAGAAAAAAATAAAGAACCTACAAACACAGTGACATTGCAAGTGAGCCATAAAACCCTCACTAATCCTCTAGAACTAGATTTTAAAATACCACTCCCCACTCTAAATATTCAATTGATGTTAACTTTCATACTAACTATTGCTTTTATGAAAAGCTTCATTTCCATGCACCCCTATGTTTATAGTTTATAGCAACATTCTTCACAACAGCCAAGATATGGAAGCAACCCAAGTGTTATTTATTTATATATAATATATATATAATATATAAAGAAATATTATTCAACCATCAAAAAGAATGAAATCTTGCCATTTGCAATGATATGGATGGAGCCAGAGTATAATGCTTAGCAAAATAAGTCAGTCAGAGAAAGACAAATACCATATGATTTCACTCATATGTGGAATTTAAGAAACAAAACAAGCAAAGGGAAAAGAGACAAATCAAGAAACAGACTCTTAATTACAGAGAACAAACTGGTGGTTACCAGAGGGGAGGAGGTGGGGGGATGGGTGAAATAGGTGATGGGGATTAAAGAGTGCATTCGTCCTGATGAGTACAGGATGATGTATGGAAGTACTGAATTACTATATTGTACACCTGAAACTAATATAACACTGTATGTTAACTGGAAATAAAATTAAAACTTAAAAAAAATAATTTTAAAAAGCTTCATTTCATGTTTTGGGCCTGATATTAAGAATCTTATCAACATGAAAGCCTGGTGATAATCAAAAGACGATGCTTATCAAGTAGTCTTTCTCCAAGCTCCAAGGAAAGCACAAAACAAAAACAGCATGCGCTGTGGATCACTCCCTCCTCCTTTTCCAGGTATGGAGCAGCTAAAAGTAGGTGACACACATTACTTTACAGTTCTATTTCAAGTCCAAGTAATAAGATGGGAAACTACAGCTGTCTCCTATGGTGGATGTCTGGGTCTATCTCTAGCCCGAAACAGTATGCTTGGCTTTGCCCTGACATACATCCTCTTGCAGCCCTTTGTCCCTGCTCTGCAACTTGTTAAGGCTTTCCAATTTAATACCAATATTCAGAAATATGTTAGTGAGCAAATACATATAGTAGATATATATAGATAGACAGATAGACTGATTACATGGATATAGGGCGGACAATATTCAATTCTGGGCCCCTGGCTCTACATACATACATACATACATATACACACACACGCACACTTCAAGTTCAAATCCCAGCAAGGCACCCTGAGCGCCTATCCCTTTCCACCCACCCAGGAGAGGTAAAGGCAGGAGCAGCGAGCAGAGGTTAAACCAGACACCAGCCAAAACAAACACCATTTCCAGAACAAGGCAAACTTTGGGTCGGGACGGCTGCAGAGCCCCAGCAATGGCCGGGGGGGGGGGGGGGGGGGGGAGGGGAGGGAGTGTCAGTCTGTCTCAGGGGAGGAAAACGGGGAGCGCATCCAGCACTCCTGAGCTGCGGAGGAGGCTGGTGTTCCCCGGGGGACAAGGGCGTCGCCGCCATCCCCGACTTCGACCTGCCCGAGGCCTCCAGGTCCTTGAGCAGCCCCATCGCCCCACCCCGCCCCCTTATCCCCACAGAAATGGTCCGCACAGACCTGCTGTGGCAGGGGGCGCGGGGACCTACCTGGTGCAACGTCTCGGCGGGCAGCTGCGACGCCCGGAACAGGTCGGCCACGGGGCCCGCGGCTGCGGTGACCGCTCCCGGGACGGCCCTGGCGGCCTCAGGGGGCCCGGACCCGGGGCCCCCGCCTGCGGCGCCGGCGCAACGCGCGAAGAGCTCGGAGTAGCACTGCTGCTCGCCCTCGCTCAGTAGCAGCGGCGGCCCGGAGCCGCAGCCCCCGCCCGCTGCCGCCTCCATGGGGCCCGGAAGCGGGTCCGGCGGAGCACCGTCACCGGGTAAGGAGCCGACGCCTTCGCCTCAGCCTCCGCCGCCTCGGTCTCGGTCTCGGCCTCGGCCGCCGCCGCCACCGCCCCCACGCCCCGCAGCTGCCGCGCTGCCGCTTCCTCCCGGCGCGCGCCGGCCCCGCCCCCGGACTTGAATGTTGTGCCTCCGCCGCGCGGCACATGGAGACAGGCGCGGGGCGAACCAATCGCAGGCTGAGATCGCACCCCGGCCCCGCCCCCACCATCCGGCCCCGCCCCGCCCCGCGCCAGGTAACTAACTCTGCGGGCCGCCCACCACGCGACCGGTCACCTGCCCCTCCTGCGCTCCCCAGACCTGGAGGGCAGGAGCCGGCGCTTGGCGCGCCCACCCGGCCCGGGAGGGGTGCCCTTGGCTCTCCTCCCAGGCTGGGAAAGGAGACAACTAGACCCACCTGGAGTATGGCGCTTTTCAGCGGGCGGAGAAAGCTGTGGTGATTTCTCCCTAGAACGCTGGAGCTGTGGCGGCGCCCTTCGCAGAAAAGGGAGGAGGCATGAGAAATTAAGTTTCCCTTTTTACATAGCAGTAGCGCTTCTGTCCTCCTATGTCCTATGGAGATCCAGAGATCATACGAACTGACTGACCCAGGGACTGACCATAGCGCTCACGGGGGCGATGAGGTTAGGCCACTTCCTCAGGTCTGGAGTTGAGCCTTAAAAAGGAACAGCATCAGTTAGTGTTAAGTACTAGAGTAATAAGAGTAAAAGGGGCCCTAGGAAGAATTGCATATGTGTGTATATATATATATATATATATATATACACACACAAAAAAAAAATTAAGTCCAGGATTAAGCACTAATAAATACATTCTAGAATTTAATAAAGAGATACATAAATCTTTCACCCCAAATAATTTTATTTTAATTAAAAACAAAAACTATCTCAAGAAATAGCACTGATGATAACAAATATACTTTGGTATTTTGGTCAACTCAAATAAGGAGGAAGGGCAGGAAGACCGGGAAAAAATCAACAGGTGGTAAAGGGGGGAGGGAATACATTAGAAGAAAAATTATGAGGGCGCCTGGCTAGTTGAGTAGGTAGAGCATACAACTCTTGATCTTGGGGTTGTGAGTTCAAGCCCCACGTTGGGCATAGAGTTTATTTAAAATAAATAAATAAAAGGTTTTAAAAAGAAGAAGAAGAAGAAGAAAATTATGTCAATTGATGGCCAGAGTAAGATTTTCCTTTTGGAATCTAAGGACATGAAATAAGATCCACTCCAAAAGCAGGAAATTCTCATCTCTTCACCAAGATTTCCTTTTACCACATTTTGCTTTAGACCTGCCAGGAGAGAATTAAGACAGAAATAAGCTTGCAGACAAGAGTACAGAAAGGATAGTTAAATGAGGAGCAGCAAAGACTACCTCAGCTGGGGAATTTCCATTTCAAAATCTAACCACCCACTGTCTTTTCCACGACCGTAATAATTTCTCAGGAAAACTGGAAGCCAAGAGATCATGTTTACTCTCTTCTGACCTTTTTAGTCATACTCAGGATTCCCTGAGAATGCCCCACCATTCTAACAGAGGTTAGAGAGGGACCCACTCTTTGTGATAAAAGCCAAACCCTACTTTCCCCTGTAACACCTGGGAAAAGAGATGTGAGGTATAATAATCCCTGACATTCATATAGTTCAAAGCTACATTATCTCGTTTAAGTAAGTCTCAAAGTAACTCACTGAGGTAGGTTGGGAAAACATTTTCATCTTCATTTTGCGGATGAGAAAATGGATACAGAGATGATGTGATTTACCCAACTGAATACTAGATTCGGAGCTGCTCTTCATTATTCAACTCAGTTTAATAAATTTGACAGGGTAGTCATCAGCACCACAGATACTGCAGAAATGCATAGAAAGTCTTACATCTGTGCCTATCCATCAAGCGGCACTCATTGGTAGAACAGAAAGTATTAACTGTGTCCCTACTGGAGTACTGTGAGGGATTAAAAAAAAATACAAGATGTGTTCCTTTCAAGGAATCTGTAGCTTTGCTGGAAAAGACAAAACTAACACAACAAATAAAAACAAACAATAAAAGACAATATATAATTAAGTGCTAAATCGTGTACCCGGGCTAAGTGTTGTGGGAGTTTAGAGAAGAGAGAAAATCCATGAGCCAGAGCCCAGCCAGGAAGGTTTAATGGAGAAGGCCCCCAGATGGATGTTACAAATCGGTTCGACTGGGGGATGCAAAAGGGCCGGACAGAGTGGGGAGCTCACAGGAGAGGGAGGAGCCCCAGAGACTTGGCACCAAGGAAGTGGTGAGTGTGGGACAGCGGGCTGGGGTGGGAGGGAGGGGGCAGCCTGTCTGGGGTGCTGGTCTGCCAGAGGAAAGCTGCTCAATGGAGGACAAGAGGCAGAAGTGACCCACCAACAGTAACCAGTAAACCTAGGATGCAGGAGGAAAAAAATGGCATTTTTTAAATGTCTTAGTATCTAAGGAATGCCAAGTGCTGTTCTTTATTTCTGCAACAGTTTTTTGAATAAAAGAAATAGTTATCAAACTTCAGAGTAAACACAGCTAAGAATGTAATAACGAGAAACACTCATATCCCTTAAGGCTGGCAGTAAACAAGAATGTTTTAGAAGAGAATTTCTTTTTACTTTTTGCAGTTCTAACCTTCCACACTTGTTTGGGCTCCATCATGGCTAGAGAGGCCAGAATGATAATACAGTTGACCTTTAAACAAGGCAGGGGTTAGGGGCACTGACCCCCATGCACTTGAAAATACACGTGTAACTTTTGACTCTCCAGAAACTTAACTAAGAGCCTACTGTTGACCAGAAGCCTTACTGATAGCAAATAGTTGATTAACATATATTTTGTATATGTATTATATACTACATTCTTACAATAAACTAAGCTAGAGAAAAGTGCTATTAAGAAAATCATAAGAGGGGGTGCCTGGGTGGCTCAGTCGTTAAGCATCTGCCATTGGCTCAGGTCATGATCCCAGGGTCCTGGGATCAAGCCCCGCATCGGGCTCCCTGCTCCACGGGAAGCCTGCTTCTCCCTCTCCCACTCCCCCTGTTTGTGTTTCTTCTCTCACTGTGTCTTTCTCTGTCAAATAAATAAAATCTTAAAAAAAAAAAAAAGAAAAAGAACAACACAGTTCAAACCTGCGTTGTTCAAGGGTCAACTGTATATTCAGGAATAGCCAAGACAGGGTCTTTAAGTTTTGCTTTTTCCTTCTAAATCCAGCATGAGTGCCCTGCATAAAGATGACAACTGAACAAACTCAGAACAAGGTGCTGGTTACCTGTAGGGAAGAGTTTCCTAAAGCAGGGGTTGGCAAACTAGGACCAGTTGTCTGGTTTTATTATTATTTTATTTTATCTTTGGAGAGAAAGAGAGAGAGTGTGTGGAGAGGGGCAGGGGGAGAGAGAGAGAATCCCAAACAAGCTCCAAGCTCAGCACAGAGCCCGATGCAGGGCTTGTCCCACAGCCCTGAGATCATGACCTGAGCTGAAATCAAGAGTCAGACGCTTAACTGACTGAGCCACCCAGGTGCCCCAGTTTTCTGGTATTGTATGGCTCACGAGCTAAGAATGGGTTGTACATCTTTTTTTAAGTAAACTCCACACCACGTGTAGGGCTTGAACTCACGACCCCGTGATCAAGAGTCGTGTGTTCTGACAGAGCAAGCCAGGTGCCCCAGGTTGTACTTTCTTTTTTTTTTTTTTTTAAGTTCCTCCTCGCTCAGCGTGGAGCCCAACTCAGGGCTTGAATTCACTGACCCTGAGATCAAGATGTGACCTGAGATCAAGAGTCAGACACTTGGGGCGCCTGGGTGGCTCAGTCGGTTCAGCGACTCACTCTTGATTTCCACTCAGATCATGATCTCAGGGTCGTGGGATCGTGCCACAGCTCAGGCTCTGCACTCAGCAGGGGTCTACTTGAGATTCTCTCTGCCCTCCGCCCAAATAAATCAATCTTTAAAAAAAAAGAGTCAGAGGCTTAACTGACTAAGCCACTCAGGCGCCCCCTGGATTATACATTTTTTAATGGTTGAAAAATAGTGCTTTCTGTACACTGAATAATATTTCAGGACATGTGAAAATTGTGTGAAGTTCACATTTCAGTATTCATAAGTAGAGTTTTACTGGAACACAGCCAGGCCCCTTCATTTATGTGTTGTCTATGGCTGTTTTCACACTAGAATGGCAGAGTTGAGTCATTGCTTAAGGTCTCTGGACATTTACAGGAAAAATTTACTGATTCCTGTTTTATAGTATGGAAACCTAATCTTTTCTTTTTTGAGACCTAATATTTTCTTATACCTACAGCCAGTTTATAGGTTACCTAGGCAAGGGAGGTATACAGAATTCTATTCGGCTTCTCTGAGCTTCAGAATTTTCATGAGTGATATTGAGGTTCTTGACATTGTATTTCAAAGACTGTGAACTTTAAAAATTACTTAGTGAGGGACTGACCAATGTAAACACTAAATAATCACTTGTTTGACTGATTTTTTTTTTCTGGAAGTGAAGAAAGATCTTTGACAGTGTGAGAGGGAATCCTATTCCCCTGGCCGCATTTTTTCTTGAGAAATTTCCTCTCTACTCTCCAGGAGGGAGTATGATGAAGTAACACTGGCGCTTCTCCCAGCTCCTCTCATTTTCTCTTCTCTATGGCAGAAGTGATGGAAGGGAGAAGAAACTGATCATTCCTGATTTTTAACAATGTCTCTCTCTATCCCTCTCTGTCTCTGTCTTTCTGTCTCACTCTGTTTCTCTTTCTCTCTTTCCTGACCCCTCTCTCTCTCTCTTTCAACCTCTCTCCCCACCACCAACACCCTTGAATTCTGTTGCCCTCAGAGAGGACTCCATTCTACCCGATTTCACATAGAAAGCACACTGAGTTTGGGGCCACTCTTCTGTTCCCACTTGTGGGATTTGATGGGTGTAAGACAGCAGTGTCCTTGCAGCTT